CTGAAAGCAATCAAGTTGCAGATTCACTAGCAAGAATCTTGGGACATAATTTTTGATAACGACTCTTGTGATACATGTAAGCGTATCTAAAATTATTGGCGATAAATTCAGTTCGCTTGCGATATTCACAGTTAATGTCGCAAAAAATGTTGCATATTTTTTGCTAATATATTTGCATTTTCAGAGGTTAGATAAAGTTCTTATTTACTTAAACTTCAGTATTTGACGAGTCACGAAAAAAATTAATGAAAGAAATAATGTACTTATAAATGTCAAAGTTCATGCCAGGTAATAATATACAGAAGAGTCGGTTCAGTTAAATCGTACACGCAGCTCATGCATAATAAACGTATATACCATCAAAGAATCAGTAAGAGATTAAACTTATAGTTCAAAGGACAGAAATGCAAGAACAACAGACAATAAATCTCTTCTTACGTGTTCCTGTGTCGCATTGAATTTGCCGCGATCAATAGTATTCGTAGAGCTCTTGTTATTGTAATATTAAGATCAATTGATGCTTATTTAGAGTTATTAAAAAAAACAAATCAATTGTAACGTTATATCTAATTCGCGACACGTGTGAAGCCAAAAAGTCTGTCTGATAACGACTTATCGATGTATAGTGCTAAACACTACGGAAGAAATTATTAACTCTATGTGCTACAAATTACTTTGTGACTAACCCTTCACGCTAGTTTATTGCAACTAAATTTATTACTACTGCTAATCATTATTATCTTATTAAACACTCTACCGGCCGCTGCAACGTACACGCGACTTCTTTTGCCCAACTGTTATCGGCGCTGTCACGTACGCGTGACTCCTTTTCGCTAGAGGTGATGCTATTTTATCATTCTGATGTTTGTATAGGAATACGTATTGATGCTATTTTTAGAGAAACAATTGCTTCCAATGTTCTCCCTTCCCAATTTACCACATCGTCTTTTGTTAAAATCTTTTAAGCGGATGCTTCTTCTATTAGTTTGAAGCTGTTTTTCGCTGCCTTCGAATCTCGAAAGTTTAGATGTATTACAAAATTATAAAATATCCTTGAAAGTGAAGTAGAACCTGCGTGATACTCGCCGGCGCCAACCTAACCGCGACGCGATAAATGTGCAGCCGGCAAAGTGTTAATGATACTATTTCATTATGTAAATCAAATTATTGCAAATTTATAAATAAATAAATATGATAAATAAATAAAAATGATAAAAAATATTCCAAATGTTACGCGACCCGAAAAGTATGATTAATTACACATCTAACTACGATGTAGGTACCGATTATCCGTCGTAGATAAGGTATATCATTGAAATTTATCTAATTTTATCACCGTTGTATTGCACGAGCAATCTTCATTTGTCACATTACATGATATTTCCGACAGATTACAAATTCAAAGAATGAAAATACAGGTTATACTGATGGTAACGCTGACAAAAAGAGTTTCAAACGGCGCCCTTCAAAGTGTTCAGCGTTCAGAAATCGCGACCGTTGCTCGTAACCGCAAACCAATTTTCAGGGAGCAATTACTGCCTTACAGCCAGTTAGAAGAATTACCGCTATCTTGCAGAACGTAAACATGATTTATTACAAAGTCTTTATCTTGAAGAATCCATGTAACGGATGATCAAAAATATTTAAATACATTCATTGTACTTTCATAACATTATATTATAAGAAGGGGGTATTCAGAAATTGAACCACATTATAATCGTAACACATTCTGCGAATGAGAATGATTTTTAAAATCATTCAGTTAAAAAAAGTCATTCAAAACGTTACATGCAGTTGGCCAAGTTCTCATAAACACACTGCTGTTTCTGGCAAGACAAAAGCAAAGTGTATGGGTAATATAATTAAAAAATGGTTGAGAGATAAGTAAAAAATATTGAAAACTAAAAACCAATATTGAGAATAATCTATTAAGTTATTATAGAAACACGAAAATTTGCATATTAATAGCTATATAGTATTACCACTATTATACTCAATTGATTAAATATTTCGTTATCTATAGTAGGAATTAATTTTTTTAATGTAGTGATAATGATTGAATTATATTTGAGTTTTACTGCAATTTCGAGTTTCTTAATGCCGAATACCAAACTATCTAAATACTCATGACCTTCTTAACATCGTGTACTGCTGCGTTATCTTGTAGAAAAAAAGCATTTTCTTCGTAATTTTTTCAGGAAATAAAACTTAACAGTTTGGTAAAATATCGATATACTCTCTATATTCATTCAGATACAAATTTTGTATATTAGTGTTTTAGAAAATAAATTAAATTCCGACTAGATTATCACCAAGATTCTTGTTTGTAACTGCAATCTTTATCAGTATGTCAATTGTGCTAATATTTTGAAGTATTAGAAATATTCAAATTATACGCAAATGAATAATGTACACGATCTACAAGGATAGAAAATGGATTTGAGGCTATTCGAAGGATACTTAATATTTTCAAGTGAGTGCGGAATTCAACGTTACGACACACAATAACCGATAAATCTAAAAAGTAACATAAAAATCAATTTCGTGCAAGCTTGGAATTTCGATATTCTGTGTAAAACGTATATCTTAATCTTTCTTCAATTTTAACCACACATATTTTGTTTATGGTATTTACTGTATGTGGCATGTACATCATCGATAATTCCAAAAGTCTTATTTCTTCGATAGTACTACTTCCAGTTGATATTTCTTTAGAAATTCAGGAACGATCACGTTTCGTCTGATTTGTGTTAATGCCTGCGTAATGATTTTTATCATATCTCTCGCGTAACCTTTCAAAATTGTACAACGTACAAGTGTTAGATCTGTTACATATTTTGACTGTCTCTAGAATCCAGAAACCTTTTATTATGTTATTATTATTTTAATTTTTTCAAATACACTTAAATTTTCTTCCATAACAAATTGGACAAAAACTATCTTCAGTCTAATTACACAGCTTCAAATATCACAATATTATACTATAAATTTCTGATTTTCTCTAGTTTTCTTTCTCAAAATATGTGCGATTTCTCGCTAAGTCAATCTCAGAAAATGTCGTTTACATCTCATTAGAAAGTACTGAGTATTTCCAGTGAAAAATTGTTAGTGTAAAGGGTTAACAATTCAACGTTTCAGTTTACAAACTGTGAATTCTCAAGTTTGTTCATACATATTATTCTATTCAAGGTTTTTGCGGTAGATCTAACATACAGTTTTTTATTGGTAAATTATAATTACATTGTGTCCTTAGATTGTGTTACAAAAATTTCTATTGTTATATATTTTCTTGACTACGATGATAAATACCTTGATATTTTCTTTACGAGAATAATGTATTTTTTTCATTAACGCAATGACGCATATCTGATTTAACTAAAGAAAGAAAAAGTTTACTTTTATATCCTTCATGCGACCACCTAAGAGAAAGTTACATACATCATATTACGCATCCTTCAAAACCAATCAATTTTTATCTTAAATAAGACACACGACAGTGTTTAATATGAGTCATGAATGACCCAGTCATCGGCTTTTGCGATCTATCGTGGAGGGTTAATGCGTATTTATGTTATCTCTATGTCTTATACTCCTCAATATAAATTATTTTAACGAAAAAATACTTATGACATGAAGTATAGAAATTTTACAACATGTTTGGAAGAATATACCTACGTCGGACAACGACGACCAAATAAAAATATTAGGAGATCAAAAATAGCCAAACTCAAATCAAATACTTTCGTTTTGACAAAACGTCTGTGAAACGTTTTCTTTGTATTGGCAGTATATATTTATATTATATTTTATTATATTATATTATATTATATTATCAATATAATATAAATAGCGACACTATGAATAATCAAGTCCTATGCTCATGAACACCGACGCCACAAGCTTAACAGCAAGTCGTTTATCCGAGTAACCGGTGTGCATTATAAACACAGACTATTCACGCGGAACCAAACGAAGCTGTACTCGCCTTTCCCCAACTGTTGCATCCGATGCGTCCTATATAGTTCAAATGGTCGCTCAATGCGCTTACCGGTCATTCTATTTCCGGCGAATACATTCATTTTCGCGGAAATTTTAACTGGTTTTGCGAATTTCCCGCACTTACGCTCATGTAACTCGAGTAAGTTCTTGACAAAGATTATCTTATCGCACACCAATCCTTTACTATTTGGACAATCGTACGATGACAAATCGCCTCAAAGGAGCGGAGCGAATAGGAAGAAACATGCAAAAATGTGAGCACTGAATAGGATAATATAAATGTTGGAAATAAGCGAGAAATGTTTCTAAAACTCTTGTAAAACGATCTTCGGTCAACAATAATATTTTTAAAGGCCAGCATTATCTGAATTGACAACACTAGAAAAAAAATCTTTTTTACCGATCATCGGTGTTTAATAAGCAAATTGACTCACATAGATAGGTTAAAAAGGTGACGCATCAGAGTCGCTTCTGATCTAACGCAGTTCGTAGGAATACAATGTAAAGACTATGCGAAAGTGACTTCAATGACAATGTTTATATCTGTCCCACGTGTGTATACCGTGTACAAGTTGCAACACACACTGAAAGCCCTAATATGCGTTTAACTATTCAAACCTTCGGAGCAATCAATTGTCACTTGGTTCATCTCCACCGCGTGAATTTCTAAATGTATTTTAACGTCGTTATGCTTACAGTTAGGAAAGGATCAGTGGGAAGTTCACGAACACAAGTTTGCGGAAGAACGCGGAGTGGAAGCGCGCCGATCCTTAACCTTGACGGGTGTGCGTAAGGAAATACGAGGCAGCATCAAACGCGGACCTAATCACAAGGATACATAATAGGAGCGACGGGGAGGTTCGGTGGTGTCATCTTAATTTCGATCGATGCGCCCTCCTTTTCGGCGGTCAGGAAGCAAAAATAAGGAGAGAGACAGAGAGAGAAAGAGAAAAAGAGAGAGAAATCACAACACCTAACCGAAACATGAATGAGGTTCTCACCTGGTCGATCGGCATGTTGACGAAGTCCGCGAGCCAGGAAAAGATATGGGAACCTTCATAGTAATTCTCCATCGGCACGGTCATTGTCAACGATCAGAGAATCGAATAAATTGGACACGCGGTTGTGCGCACACCACCGTAACGTTTCCCGTGACTCGGTCGCACAGCATAAACGTACCGCCGAGAAAAGACACGGATCCGCTACGCTCCACTCGGTTTCACTCCCTCGAGGGAATGATTGTTACAACGCGTTGAATTCACACAACCACGACAGCGATGACCCCGTCGACGACGGATCCTGAAATGCAGCGCCGCTACGTTCCGCGCCGGCTAACAAACCTGCCGGCACCCAGGGCCGTATCCACAAGTGGCATGATCAATCCCACGTGATGGGAACTGTTGATCCTTCCAACACCCCGGATTCGTCGCACATGTGTATCTGTAGTTGATTCTTATATGTAAATAGTACTCTGTATAAAAGTGGCGTGTTCTATCACGTTGACTATGCGAATATAAACACGTTGAACGCCGCACAATTTCATAGAGGAAAATACATAATTAATTGAGTGAATTATAGTAATTCAATTCGGTCGGAGGTCACTGGTGACCCCCGCGGCATTCAACATGTTAATGAACATGATGAAATTAAAATCAGATTTATCTTTTTTCCATTAACGCGCATTCGAAGAATGTACTTTGGTCTAGACTGGTTATATTGATTATTATTAATGTATTTTACTTTCCATTTACTTGTAATAAACAAAAAAAAATTGACAATGTTTTTTACTTTTATAAATATAAAAAATTATTAAAAAGGACATGCCAGTAAACCTGTGCCAACTGTATTGCCAATCATGTTTGAAATAATTTGAATATATTATTAGACAGACAACTTTAATTTCTTTAAACGTATTAAATGTTTGTTCATAGAGATATATATTGTTTTACTCTATTGAGGACTTTAATTATACTGTTACAACGTTTTTATGCGATGAAATGCAACTGAATGAAGAGGAAGAATAAAGATATTGATTTGTAAAAGTATTTATAATATTGGAAAAAGAACAAAAGATAACTAAACAAAAGGTCTGTAAAACCCCTTCAAATAGCAGAAAACATAAGCGAAACGAAAATTAAAGTAGAATAATGGTTACCGTAATTGTGAAAGATAAATTAGCAGCATTACTGAAAACTAACTATAGTAGAATAGGAACGGAATTATACAAATACTCACTGGTGACTAAAATTGTTCCAGTTTTTACGTATATATGAATATTTACGAGCGTCGATTTTCGTAAATTTGTAACAACATTATTAATATTAAATGGCTAGTTTCCTTAGAGTATTGGCCTTGCACTTTGTTTAATCATGCTGCAACTATTTATAAAGAATATTTTGTATAAAATCTTTTCCTGTTAATATTATTTATTTTCTTTATCTTTTTTATTTACTCTTTTTCTGTATCTCCCATACATTCCCTCGTAGTATGTTTAAACAACTGTAATACGTAAATATAAATATTTACGATAATATTTATTTATGATAAAATAACGTTAGTGTTTAATGTTATACTATATAAATCTAATTAAGAATTAAAAATAAAAACACAATATTTAATGATACACGTTAGAGTCGTTTCTTCAGACTTGAAACAACATATTCATATTTTATATTGACGTTTAAGTTAAAATTATAGAACATTTATTTTAGAAAAATGTTAATAATATACGACATTGATTCAAATATTATATTACATTATCAACACTTCACTGTCGAAAATATAATGCATGTGAATCATTTAGAATTTAGATCAGAGGTGTCGAACTGCCTCTCCTTATGCTAGTAACTCTTGATTAACAATCCTTCACTACCTCTACTTTGGGAGCTGCTCGAGACTGCATATGTAAACAGCTGTATGTAGTGTGAACAAACAGGTAAAAGTAGGTATAGAAAGGATAACTCTCCATGAGGTGAAAGTCACTATAGAGCTCGCAAGATCTCTCAGTTTGACACCTCTAATTTAGATTAGTTATGAATATTATTATAATAATATAACTAAATTCATTGATTGCAAAAATATTTATTGTATTCTGAATTATTTTATTAATATTTAATACCATGTACATATACTACAATAAATATATATTATAATAAAATGAACGAATACTAAATGTAATTTTCTTATAATTATTTAGTAACCATTTAGTAACTAGAACATGTCACAGTTGGTCACTATACATATCGAAGGAGGAACCGTTGCATGCATTATACAAAATTTCACTACAAGCTCATATATAGGGAACTGTACCAAACTATGAATATGGTAATTATCGATAGTAACGACCACGTGTGTGATTGACCCAACACATTATTAGTCTTACAAATTTGTAAATTATTTCTAAAAATTAAAGAAGTAAGACATGTCGGACTTATTTAGCAGTTCATCTTCAGGAGATGATAAATCCAAAGGAGTGGACAATGAATTGCAAGAATTTCTGTTAATTGAAAAAGAAAAAGCACAATTTCAATCCCAGGTGAAGTGTTATTTATAATACAACTTAAAAGGGACATCATATTTCAGGGTTTACAATGTTTTATGTTATTTCATATTTATTCTGACATGTTTAAAAAAGTCTCATTTCAAGGTTAACTTTTTATTATTAAGTTTTTTCAATTTCGAAACTACATTTAGATTTGCATAGTATACTACTCATACATTGTTATAATAGTAATTGTACAATACATTTCTGAAATAGTATTGCTTTAGAATCTATATAGTCAATAATAATAAAGGTTCATAAATATTTCCAATACATTTTTAGATACATGAATTCAATCATATTTGTTGGGACAAATGTGTTGACAAACCTGGAGCCAAATTGGACAGTCGGACAGAAACATGTTTGCAAAATTGTGTTGATAGATTTATAGATGTTTCTCTTTTAATTACCAATCGCTTTGCACAGATATTGCAAAGAAATGCAGGTGGAATGTAAATTGTTAATTATAAATTAATTGAATTGTTATTGTAGGGCATTGAACATAAAATAAGTTTTTATTTTAATTGTTTTATGTATATCAAAAGACATAGTTGATGTATCAATGCAAAATAGAAAAGTGTTTTGGACAAATAACAAATTACCTATCTTTTCTCCACAAAATTATGTTTTAAATTTATTTATATAAACTATGTAACTTATATATTACACTTTACACAATGTACATATAAATTTATACATAATTTAAATATTGTGTAAATTTCTTTGGAAATTGTGTAAAAAATATAGTTGATTTCAATAGGGATATTATAATAAATATATTTCTGTAAACAATATATGCATTTTTATGTTAAGTTCATAAAAAAACCTGGTAATATAATGGTTATTGCAAACATAAATGCATTTAATTTCATATACATTATAAATATTAAAAACAGATAACATTAAAGTATCAATATAGTAAATTGGAATGAATATTTACATTGTACATAATATTAAATATTATGTTCTTTCATTTATTCTTAGGAATTCAAAGAAAATGCATGTAGAATGCAATTCTTTTATACTACATAATACAACTTCTCTTATTACAACAGTTCTGGATGGCAATTCTTATATTATAATAACTGTGTCACAAAATATAATATTCTGAAGTTGCACATCCATTTCAAAATGCAATATTTAATTGTATACCACACTGTTTTTGATACATTAATTGGCAATGAGTACATATGAACACTGCTAGTGTGATGGTATTCAATTTAGGCTCAAATTCAATATAATCAGATACGTAATGGCCTTTGAGGAAGGCACATATTATAAAATGCATTTTTCTTCCAAAAGTCTTTATTTTTCCACCCACACCAACCCTTACTTATTATAGTTGATAAATTTTCCAATCCAGTGTAATGTGGATCTAAAATTAAAAATTTTACATCGCCAGTACTTTTGTCATGGCAAACTCCCAAAATTGTGTGAGCTAATACACCACCACCTAGAAAG